AGTTAATTTATAATTTAAAGTAATTTTTTTTAAACAAAATTTACGGCTTCGCCTCAGGCTGTTTGTATTAAATTTCTTGTTTATGAATTAAGTAATTGCAGTTACGTATTTTATTTAGTGAATTAATTAAGACTAATTAACTTATTTATATATTTATATATTTGACTTAGGCATCGATTATTTGTTTCAAAAATGAAATGAATTAACTACCTAATTAATTAATATTATTTTCACAATTCTGTTTTAATTATTTTAAATTTTGACGTAATCATTATTTATTACATATTTTTTTTAGTGGACATTGACCGTAATAAGTAGAAGTAAGAAAGTAAATTGGAATTTAAGTTTTATTAACTTCAATTATGATTATTATTACTTTTGAAAATCTATTTCATATTTTTAGAAAAAAAGCATTTCATAAATTCGGAAATACAATCGTATGTAGAATTTAATTAATTAATCTTTATTTTGTACTCAGTGTTAAAGAGTGCTTTTATCAACTAATTTCAGTAGATAAAATAGTCTTTTATCGTCTAGTGACATAAAGTAACTTTCATCTACTGTTTATATTTCATCAACTAATTTTAGTAGATAAAGTAGTAAGTAAAGTCCACTTGTGACTTCGTCACTCGTAAACCTAACTTTTGCACTCGTAGATAAACAATTTCTTTATCGTTTTGTATAATAAATAACTATATTTACACTTAAGAAAATTGAAATTAATTAACCACATAATTCAGTTTTTGTGGATTGGTACCATGTTTGAAAGTTAATTATTTTGTTATTTTTTTACGTTAGTATTTTTAAACAAAATGACGGATAAACTCGTTGGTTTCTTACGGTAAATTTTCTAAAAAATTACAAACAAATAATTAAAAAATTCTGGAAACCGAAGTTTAGAAACTATTAAGCTTAAAAGTTTACGAATAAATTTTATAATTCTGGTTAATGTTAATTTGTTACCTTTTCTAAAACCTAGAGAATTATTTCATTCTTAACGACAGTAAGAGTTGGATTAGTAATTTTTTATTAAAAAAATGTTACATGTAATTTACCTAAAATTATATCTGGCAACTTTGGATAAGAATTATTTTAATATCAACAGAAATAACCTTAATTTTTCGCTACTTTTATAATTTTTGCTGCTACATTACAACGTTGCCAGCTTAGTAAAATTCATAATTCATCATAACTCAAAAAATAAGACGGGAGATTTTTTTTAACATTTTTTACGAACTCCCCAAAGCTTTTCCAAGAATGCACCATCGAAGTTATTCGTCATTTTTTTATCACCATATATACAGGGTGTATTAGAACTCGCGCCCAAGAGAAAAATTTCAAGTACAAAATGGCAACTTGTATGAAAATTTTTGTCACTTATAATTACACGAGAGCTTTTTTTTTTCGAAGTAAACTTAACATTTTAATGAGAATTTTGTTTCCTGGCAATTTAATTTGCCTAATCTAAATTGCTTAAAGGAAACAAAACTCGAATTAAAAATGTCAAGTTTTCTTCGTAAAAAAAAGGCTTGAGTGTAATTTGGTACGACAATTTAGTGAATACGTAAATCACCAAATTAACAAATAAGGTGTAAATTGGTTTATTTAATTTAATGGAAAGTACAATTATTAAAAACACAATTCTCATAAACAATTTGATTTTCAGAACTTTCTTGTTTTTTGTTAATAGTTTGCTGCATGCTGGTATTTTGAGCGGTGGTAGTAATGGTAGTACGAATGGACTCAATGTCTCTATGATGTTCTTGATCTAACTGAAGGTACACTGTTTTAATGACGATGGATTGTTATGTCCCATAATTTTCACAAGTTCAGAATGAATGGTTCGTAATTTTCACCCGCTTGTCCAATACTTTTTGCGGAAGATTTGGTTCATTTAGAGATTTCATTTGTCAAATTGACGTACTTGAATTCACAGTATTGCGAGGCACATTATTGTTGATGGCTTTTTCAATTTCTCCACTCGAAGATTCTCCAAAGCGCGACATTTTCACAGATTAGATACTGAAAACGCAAGTTTGAGAAAAATTTGTTTACAATTTTTTTTGGTTGTCTAGGAACCGATGATGCAGACCTACTAAATTCAGACGCTTTTAAAAGCTAGGTTCCGTTTTGTCGCTGTAATAGTTAGGGCAAACTTTTGTCGCTGGCATAGTGACAAAAACACCGCGGCTTATGGGATTTTTAGTGTATGAAAAAAATTGTCGATAAAAATTGAATAAAATGTAGATTGTTATAATCCTTAGATTAATTCCTTTTAAAAAAAAAAAGTTCTATGGAGGGTTACCATTTGAAAAAGTAAAAAATTTTGCAGCTCGAAACAAAACAAAAATCGGAAAATTTTATTCTTGAGAAACGTCACATTTTCATAGTAGGTACATTATTATTCATTAAATAGTTTTTCTAAAAATAAATAGTTTAAGCAAAAAACGTTCAATTTTGATTTCTACTATTATGTTACTTCTACTATTATGTTACAGTGATGGACAGTGAATTTCGTCCACCCAATTTCCGTGAATTCCCAAAAATTCACTGTAGTGTTTGCTTTATTGTCATAACTGACATTAAAATACGTCACTGTCTATCACTGTACTATTATTGTGTTTTTTATTATTATATCCTGGATTTCTTGAACTTTTTAATGTTTCAATTAATCAAATTAAATATTTTTAACTTACTCCTTAAATTACTAAAATAATTAGTCGTTCATTTCGATTGGTTTGAGAAGATTTATTGATATTATTTCGTCACGATTTCTACCCTCAATTGGGTTTAAACCCCTGATGCGACCCTGTTCAACTCTGGCAATCACCGAGATCGGTCCCCCAGGAAATGTCTATAATAATGTCTAAATTCATGCGGAAAATCTTTTCATCGTAGACGACGACATCCCAACGTTTGCTTTAGTTTGCGAAATCCCCGGTGCCGCCCCCACGTTAATATAACGACAATAAAAAAAACCATCATCATCACACCGAAATTTCCAGGTAAAGTCAACACGACTTCTCCTCGTACAAAGTTTAAACACAGCCAAAGCTGCAGTAATTGGCAAACGCCATAATCCGCTTTAATTAGTCGAGAAAATCAACAAGAGATAACTTGCTAATTGGGGGGTGCCCCCTCCTCCTCATCCCGGCCCTGCAACCGCAAACACACGTACAACTTTACAATGAATACGAAAGAAATAATGTTTGTTCTTTATCCAATCACGTGAAAAGTCGCTCCAGGGCCGCATTTTGAATTTTCATCCCCTATGGATGGGGGAATGTAGGGGGTAATTATCCCGATTGATTAACGATTTCCGGTGTCCCGAAGGAGACGACAAAAATTAACAATGGGACGTGATAATCCCGCACACACATGTCCGTTTAATCCCTTTCCTATTACACCGTGATAAAATATTCTCAAAGGGCGGGCCCCACTAAACCCCACACACCCCCGCACTTCGTTTACAAACGCGCCAAATTGAAATATTAATATTTAATTCAATTAGGAGAAAAGTGGTGTATGCGTACGCGAGCTTTAAAAACGTTAGCAAATCAACCGGAAAAGTGTATTAAATAATTTTTATTTAATTAAGTTTATTTTGATTAATTGGAAGAGAGATGAGACGCGATTGATTTAAATCGAAATCGGGACGATTGTTTGATAGCAAACGCCGCACAGGACCGGATTAAAAAATTAGAGTACAAGTCAAGAAAATAATTACCTAAAATTGTGTCAGTAACTAGAAAACTGTATTCAGTTGATTACACTGCCGAGATTTCAAAACTTTAATAACAAAAATTGCTTATAAAACCTTGACACAAAAAAAAAAATAAAAACAAAAAAATACAACTACAAAAAATACAATTTCATATTGCAATTTTTTAAATAAGTTCGTTAATTAATCTAGGCAGTTTAAATTTGTTACACCTTTACCTATAATTGCAGCCCGAGGCGAAGCCGAGGGCTATAGTTCTGTGTTTACCAAATAGAAGCTAAACAGTTACTCTACTTTTTTCGTTGTTATTAATTGATTACAAAAATATTAAAATCCTGACAAATATTGAAAAAATAAGAAAAAAACAGAAATAAGATTACAATATGTAGATGAAACTGTCTCTATTTTGTTTATTGTTGCAAACTTAATTTTAAAATCTCTAATCAGAAGTTTAATTATTTAAAAATATTGTACAGGGTCGTTATAAATGTTTGTAGTCCAAGTTTCAATATAAAATTTGTTGTGTGCCGCTTTATAGTAATATGACTTACAAGTCTAAGCTGTCAATTACGTTGCCACATTTTTTTTTGATGGTTGGTAAAGCGACAGAAACCAAAATCTAAACTACAAATATTTATAATTAGAGCTCTTAACTTTGTCTCATTACACATTATTGGGGAAAAATAATATATTATGTTATTAGGAGTAGTTTAAGTAGTTTATGTGAACAAAATAGTCAGGACGCTTTGCAAGTAATGATATCATAACAACGCTTCTAAACAAACATCAGTCAGTATCGGAATTTGTGTTGAGTGCAGTTAGTCGAATGCAAAATGTCGAATGCTGATGATCTATAATGTATCTCTCCCGAAATTGCTGAAGCAGCAATAAAGAGACAACATTAGTAAATGTCATGGTAAAAGTAAAAACGCTTAAGCCCAAAAATATAATTTTTACTCTGTGGCTGAAAGGTAAAACTTTTACTTGTTATATTTAGTTATAAAAGTGGTCGCTTTTGTGACATTTGCGGATAAAATAATTATTTTTGCTTGTACTGCACCAGAAAAATAAATTTTAATAATTCTAATCAGGAATAAACAGAATGGCTAAAAAGTATAGATACAATTTCTCCTAATATTTTGATTGATTTTCTTTACATAAATTGAAAATAAACAATACTCTTTTCTAAATATTTAAATTTAAACATTTGTGCTATTAAAAAATCGAGTTAGACTTACATCTCCAAAACAAATAAGGATAAAAATTTGGAAAATATTTCAGACTGTTGACCTTAATTAACGTGTGTTCACAAAAAAACCCGCAATAGGCGAACGCGAACATATGTCGTCGTATATATCGTACACTAATGAATTTAATTATCTGTCATCTTGACAAGTGGATAAATGAATTAATCAAAGACATGCAAAATATTTTTCAAAGCACGTTTGAGTTTTTTTTTTTAATAAACATATTTTACAATTTTACCAAATTTCGTTACAATTTGATAAATTGTTTTTGAAACATTTAGCTGTATTTATTTTTAATCGTCTCTGTATACAAGGTGATTCATAAGGAATAATGAGCCTGACCAAATTCTCGATGCAACCACCATTACTCTTTGCAAGTTATTTTGTGACAACTGTAATGTTGGTTTTGTTTTCTTATGGACATATCTATCAAAAATGACAATTCTGAAAAAGTCGCAATATAAAATCTATTGCGCAATTGTTGGTACAATTTAGTTACTTCTGCTGCCAACATAGACACAGCCCACACATTAGTGGTGGCGGGCTAGGGGCTGCCAACTTTGCAATAAATTAAATGGCCACTATGAATTGACTGCGACTTTAATTAGTAATCACCGATTTTTTTCTTAAAATTCAAAAATAAAAAGATACATTCAAGGAATTAGACATTTTAAGTAAGATATGTAAATAATTTATGTTAGTTTCTTATATTTGCAGAAACATAAAAACAAATCGTTTTTAGACAATAATTTTTCTTAAACAAAATTAACTTTTTTATTGTATTATGTATTTTTCAGGTGATTCAGCTACAAAAACCTCTCGTTTGGTTTTTGCGATTTTTGCCGATTCCGCCGAATGCTTATGATTAATTTCTCTAATATTTACTAATTATCTGTTATTATTAATTGCTGACGCATCCCCTAATTGTTGACCGGCGACCTCCACATCGATTTACTATTTACATAATTGCATTTCGAAAAAAAACCTCGCGTTTTTCTGCGTTTCAACAAAATAAAAGCAATAGCAATACCAAATTGTATGGAATTTTCTGCTTGTTTCATATTCAAACTATACAAATCTGAGTCAACACATATTAATTAAATGCAACGCAATCGAAAAACAAATCAAACATCAGTAATAAAAATTGTTTCAGAGAAAACCATCCAAGGCACGTGTATCGTGTGTCAAGCACAGTTGGGGCCTCATCTGCAATCGCGCCCTCTGGTGCCGAGTCAGGCGTCACAGTATGGTTTGAGGGAGGATCAAGTACCCGGCGGAGGTCGAGTCTGCAACACTTGTCGGTGTAAATGCGTGAGGTCAAGATACACGCATTGTCCTCTCCCTTCGTGTCCCAATTCACGTGGAAGGGTCAAAAGACTGCGGTCTTTCCCCCAAAGATTGCAAGATTTACCCCCGGATGTCCGGGAGCCTCTCTTGGCGGAATTCCACGTCCCTAGTGGGGTTACAAAATGTTGTTCTGCTTGTTTTAATCGAATTCAACGGAGGTTAGGACCGGTTGAGGAATGGACCGAAGAGGAAATCAACCAATTGAAGAATTGTTTGACCGAAAACGGCGCTAATTGGCAGCTGATTGGTGAACGATTGAATAAACCGGCCAATCAAATTCGAGCGTTCTATTCGGCCAATAGAAAACGATTGAATTTGGAGAGTTGTCTAGGTGATAGAAAGCCGACTTTGACTGATGAGGAGGAGAGTGGATCGAGCACGTCGAGTTGTGAGGAACCAATGAGAGATCGACATTCCAGTGATACAGCAAGTGCGGCCGAAAGCCCGCCTCAAGCTCCTCCCACTAATCAAAACCCGTCAAAAAAGGAGGATTATGATTCGTCAGCCACCGAAACCGCCGATGAAGCCCAAACTCCCGATCATTACCAAGGCTCCGCCACCATAACCCCCGTCACCAACGATGGTCAAATTCGTCAAAATGCCTCCCCACTCAGCGTCAAAGATTTGGTCCTCAACGTTATTGAATTCCAATTGATGAAAAATCCGGGAGGACAAGTCCAAAATCCTCCAACCAGCGGAATGGCCCCCACAATCTCCTCAATCCTCAATAACGACTCTTCTGAGGTGACAATTGTGAGCGAATACAACCTCAATACACGCCCTCCACGATCCGACATTTCATTGGCTAAACTTGTCACGCCCCTAATCGGAGCGACCATAACTCCAGTCCCGGCCACGCCTCATCAACCACCGCCAGAACCTCGAAACGACCTCGTCGTCCTCTCTGTACAAGACCGCGAGCCGGAAACACTAGACCTTAGTATAAAAAAGCCACGAGAACCGCCTCCTCCCGCCCACTCCAAACACCCACCAATGCACCGCGAGTATCTCCCTCACCACGCCTTTCCAATTCGAACACAACCGAAACTCCCTTCACCCAAACCGGCCAATCCCAAATCAGGATCGATAACATTGGGAACGCCCATTATCAACCAACCACGATACGAGGGGCTACTCCGACAGATGGCTCCAGAGACTAAAATGGGATCCATAACACAGGGCACGCCCATTCACATGCCACACCTACAAGAAAAACGCGTGTATGAGTTTTTTAATAAGAGGGGACCTTCTGGAGCTCCACCTTCGGGGGGCTATCAGTACCGACAACCGGCTGCTTACACCGTTGAGCAACAATTGAATTCGAGACAAATCATCATGAACGATTATATAACATCGCAACAGATGTTGGGAAGGAGGGACAAACCGTATTACGCAAGGACTCCGCCCCCCACAAATCAAAATCAACAAAGACAAGGGGTTATTCAGAGACATACTCGCCCGTATCTGCCTCCCGGTCACGAGGCACTTTCAAGTTTAGTGGATGTGGCCGTCCAACAGCCCAGTTTGCCGGTTCCTACAGCCCCCCATGAGGGTCTAGGTAAAACAATGGCCGACAACATCATGGAACAACCTCACCGTTTCCAAATCATCCACCAACAACAAATGCGACAACAGCAAAGAATGGAGGAACAAAGACGCATCGTTTATCAGAATTCGCGCCACCAATCGCGTAACACTGAAACATCTTTGACAGCTGCTAGCTTGATCGATGCAATTATCACCCATCAAATCAACCAGACGAGTGAAGGAGGCCGAGAGGTGATCAATAATCCCCGGGAGCAACGACCCGGAGACCTCCTCTTTCAGAGTTTCCATCGGGACCCTCCTCCTAATCCTCCCAATGACAATGAGCGGCCCCCAAGTGTCATTAGTATTGATCTCGAATCGGATACTGTCAATAAAAATTTGACAGTGAAAGAATTGACAGATTCAGTGATAAGTCATGATTTTAGTACTCGAGGTCCGAATTATCACTATATGAGGATTCCGAAGGATGATAAGCGCTCGGCTACGCCTCAACAAGACGAACGACAGATAATTCGCATTGCGCAGCCGCAGAAGTATCACGTGGAGCCGGTATCTCCGCCGGATAACCACTGGGGGCGCTACCAGCAACAGCCACAGAATCAGCACATCTCGGCGCTTGATTATGTGAAAAACCGGATTGTTGAGGTTATGAGGACTGAGGATGACAAAAAGGAGGACAGTCAGGAGAAGGAGAGGAGTGACAGTCCTGGCGAAATGGTGATAGACGAAGAAGGGCAACAATTTGGCCATTGTTACACTGCCAATGACAGTTCGAGGAATAACGAGCCGAAGCCGTTGCTATCTGCGCAGTACGAGCCGTTATCGGACGAGGATTAGATTAGGTTAATGTGAGGTTAGGTGCGTCCAATAGGATTCGATTAAGTTTAATTGTAGATTAATGTAAATAACTTGTATAAGGTTTTATGTAAGGTTAGGGATTAGTTTACATAACCTCAAAATTTGATATTTATGTCAAAATGGCGGCAAGTCCAGTTTGCATTTCCTAAACATGTGTTGCTATCGCGTGCAATCAGTGTCGAACATTTTTTTTCTGGAAATGTAAATAAACCCATTCATTATATTTAGAGTGTAAGGGTAATAACTTGTAAATACTTGTGAATTTTTTCCTCTTCTATTTTTAATTTTTATTTCTGTTTTTACGATGTAATTTAAGTCTTTTGACGCTTTCACGTCTGTGCAAGACGAACTGATGATTTTTCTACACACTACAAGGACAAATTATACAAAAATGCTTCCAAAAATATGTATGTACACTGTCGATTTTTTTAGTTTGTATTTTCAGATAGTAATTTGTTATTTTGTTGAAATAAATTAAATATCAGTTTGAAGTTTGTATCACTGATGACCACCACCACATCCTCATCCAACTTTTTGACAGTGCACCGCCATCTGTTGGTCAAATTCTGACCTTTTTAACTTTACAGCGAATGTACAGGGTGCTGCATTTTGGATGTCCGAATAGGGAATCTCCGAAACTAAGATGTTTAGCCAAAAACGAGTGATACATTCTGGGGCTTATTTTTTGAGAAAATAATATTGGTTAAAAACACATCGCGCTATCGTCTTTTGTTTTCGACTTACAGACAAAAGTTGACATTTTGGCAAAATCTAAAAAAATTCATATCTTCGTTGTTATAGAAGATACGGATTTGAAATAAAAACATTGTACAGGCACGTTTTTACGAGGAATTTAATAATGTAGTTAACAATTTTTTTCAATTATTAGTTTAGCCGTAATAAGATAAACTTGTATTTTTTTAAATGGAAATCAAGGCGGCTTTGGCAATTTCGAAAAGCTTATTTTTTTCTGATCTAAAAAATATATATTTGTAACAGCATATTTTTTTATAACTATACTTATTAAAAAGTGAAATACATATTTTGTTTTACAATAGTTGGCCATGGAAAAATGTGTAAATAATAACCAATAAGAGTTTTGTGAACTGTAAAATAGATGAAAAAATAGATAAAATTATAAAGATTTAAAAAATACGATACGGTAGAAGCATTGAACAAATATCCGAGCGCCTCAGAACAAAATTATTACATATTTTTAAAAAATCCAAAAATAGGACACACAAATGTGTCAACAGTCAACACAATTAGAAAAAACATTTTTTGATGATCTAATGGAGGTAGGATAACGTTTCACATAGACCGAATTTGGGTATTTGAATAGCCATATCGTCATTTTTGTGTCATATAAAATATATTTTATTGAAGAATTAAAGCGGCTTTTTTTACAACACTCTATGTATCACTAGAAGTTGCAATGGTTATGTTAGCTTGTTTAAAAACAAAGAAATGTTATTAGTCGCCAATAAGTTGATTTACAATTTATTTTGCATCTTTTTCATCACTTAGTACTTATAAAACTCTTTCATTAGTGACACTGGTTGAATAATATAGTTTAAATCCTTTTAGTTGAAGATGCAACATTTTTTCATGGCCAACTGCGAACAAAAATCAAAGATAATTTTTTGCGAAAAATGTATTATAATAATTTGTTAGAAATATATATTTTTTAGATAAGAAAAAACAAGCTTTTTAAAAATGACATAGCCATCTATGATTCCCATTTTAAAAAATACAAATTTATTTTATTACGGCTAAACAAACAACTGAAAAAAATTGTTAACTACATTATTAAATTTTACGTAAAAAAATACCTGTATAATGTCTTTATTTCAAGTCTGTGTCTTCTATAGTAACGAAGATATGATTTTTTTAGATTTCGCTGAAAGGTCAATTTTTGTCTATAAGTCGAAAACAAAAGACGATAGCGGGATGTGGTTTTAACCAATATTATTTTCTCAAAAAATGAGCCCCAGAATGTATTACTCGTTTTTGGCCAAACCTCTTAGTTTCAGAGATTCCCTATTCGGACATCCAAAATGCAGCACCCTGTACAGAGTGACTCAAGTTTTATACCTACCCCCAAAACAATTCATTCTAGTTGTCGCAAACCAAGATTTATAAAGTAAGAAGGTTGCCTGGTAACTTGGCGTAAGAGACACTAAAGAGCGAGTAAGATGGCTATATGGTGACGTCAGTGGAGTGATGCTCGATTAGCTGCAGGTTGCAGAGTGCCAGATTAAGGGGGCCAACGTCCTGATTTAGCCAGGACATGTTTAGGTTTTTATTGTTTTGTCTTGTTTTACATTCATGTCCTGATTTGTCTCGATTAAAGGACCAACACACCTAAGTGTGCAATTTTTTGAAAGTATCTTTCAAGTTAAAGTCTTCTTTTTGTCGTCAATTTTGATTTTGAATTGTCTGAAGTTGGTTACCTTATGTCAGACTTCAGATTTGTGTTATTATTAAGGCTCGGATTATATGCAGATTACATATTTGTTATTAAGAGGTATATCAACAAAACTATAAGTTTTCTATATTAAAACTGTAAGTTTTAATGTTTGTTGATTAAAATAAGCCAAATAAAAAATGCATATTTTTGCAACTTCGTGCATATTTTACGAAATATTGCATATTTGTGCATATTTTCTTTAAATCACAAAATTCCGATTAAAAGTTTTAGTTCAAGTTAAAAATTGGACATTTTAAGAAAAATGATCCGATTACAAAATATCTTGTTTTCTTTTTAAATTCGTTTTATACAGGTGAATATAAAGTATGAAACCAAGCGTTTTTTTTAAACCATTTTCAGGAACATTCTGGAAACACGCTAGATTAAAACAGTAAACAATAATTCGAACCACATGTTCACTAATGCGCAAGAAAAATTACCTGTTAGACTATTTAAACAAATATTTTATCCGGCGATTTATTAAATAAAGTACAGTTAGAGAAAAAATTATTTGCCACTTCTGATAAAAATTATTACTAGCTTCATCAAAATAGTGATTAGTTTTATTTTTATACAGAGTGAATATAAAATATGGAACTCAACTTTTTTTTTTAAATTATTTGTCTCAAGAAATTATTAATTAATATAAATTAAAGTAATACAAAAAGTGTGATCGTATTTTGAGAACGAAATTTTGTCTTGTTTTTGTGTTATGTTAAAATTGCAATTTATGTTTTTTTATTTATTTAATATAAAGTAGGTAGATAGTTGTAATTCTTAAATCATAACCTTTATGAGAAAAATGTTTTTTTTGAATACGCTCCCAAAAATAGCCGTTTTGGACTCAACAAAATAGTACGTAAAATGATTATTTTAGGTACTCAGTTCCCAAAAACAGTTTTTCCGGACGAAAATCTCAATTTGGTTACTATGGTAGGAATTTTTTTTTGATTAAAATAAGAGGTGTGAATTCGTTCTTTGGGTGTTTCAACAAAAAATATTTTTGTAAGACCTCAACTCGTTTAGTGATTTTTTATTGTTAAAAGTTTTGCATATCGATTATCGATGCATATTTGGCATATATTAGAGCATATTTCTTAATATCTTGTGCATATTTTTGTAAAAATACGAGCACATTTTACGAATTTTTTGGGCATATAATCCGAACCTTAGTTATTATTATTGTGTTGCATCTTGCATTATTTACCACATCTTCCTTTAAAGATCTTGTATGCTTCTTAACTTTATTACTCAATACCGCAAAAACTATGCATCGTAGAGTATTTTAACCTGTGGCATCGTGTAAGGGTAATTTTACGTCTAAAAAAACATACTTCATGCGTTTTTAAACTCAAAAAATTTGTACGTTCTTAAACTTGACCCAATAACTTTTTGAGTCTTTAAGATCACTAGAAAATAATGTAAAAAAAGTTATATGGATCAATTTTAAAGTTAATTTGTTTTCACTTTTGTTGCGATTTTGGTCGATTTTTGGCACCTGGAGCGGTCTCTTTATAATAACTCCGGACTTCTTGGTGATAACCGCTTAGGTTTGGTACCATTAGAAAGAAAATTTAATTTTCTATCATATACAAAAAAGATCAGTGTTCTGCGATAAATAGTTATCGAGAAAATTTCTGATAAACAAATCAAAGAAAAATGAATAAAATTATAAATTAAAGTATTGCAAGTTTTAACAAAATAAATTTATATTTTTTATTTATGTATACAGGGTGCGACAGAGCTCGCGCCCCAGAGAAAAATACCAAGGTAAGGTACCAGGAACATGAAATAGTTATTTATTCGACGAGTTTGAGTGTAAATCGGACTCTTTATTTGACCGAGTGGATTTTTAAACCACAAGTGTAACGAGTGGTTTACCATCCACGAGGTGGAATAAAGCGTCCGATTTACACTCAAACGAGTGGAATACAATATTTTATTCTTCGAATTAGAGTCAACAAGGCTTAAACTTGCTTTAAATCTGTTAAAAATAATTTGACGTTTTGTATTGAGAAATGCCAAACAGTTGTCAAAACTTCCTTACACAGGAGAAAAACCGTAAATTTTGACAGTGTCGAAGAATAAAAGCCATTTAATTTAGTTTTTTAATTTCTGAAATCGGGCCATAAATAAAAATTCTACAGCGCCTGCCGTTGTGTCGAAGAATAAAAAATGTTAAAGAAATTATATTTATAAAATTTTCGAAGTTATGAGAGTTTAAATTTTGCACTTTGACTCTATTTATTTCTGTTTGAAAAATGATTTTCTAAGTTTTTTTGCTACAGGCTATTAGAAGAGGAAACAAGGAAGCTGTATCCCAAAAATGTTATTTGTGGCTTTTATTAGCAAAATTTTGTTTTGTACTTTTACTAAATAATTGTAAAAAAACATATACAAGATCATCAGTATCATTAAATAGATATAAAAAAATGTCAAATGTCAAAAAATAAATGTCAAAATTTTTTGACAGATAGAATTTTTTAAACATTTTTCCATGTTCCTGGTATCTTATCTTACTTGAAATTTTTCTCTGGGGCGCGAGTTCTGGCGCACCTGTATGTTTTATTTATTTTACTCTTAATAAAAAATATTTTATCAGTATTTTTTACGGAATTCTAGTTTTTTAACTTAATAATATGGTTGGTTGCATATCCTATTTTTGAACGAAAACTCCAGTGACGTCAATTCGCGCGAATAATGCGCACACGTGATTGGTACAAAGTTACGAGACAACCTTCTTACTTTATAAACCTTGGTCGCAAACTGATTTTTTGAAAAATATAAATTTTGAGAAACCACCACCCAGATGAAGCTTTTTTTTTGATCATTTTGCGATTCCACTCTCAAAATTTTGTATTTTCTAAATGTTACGATTAGAAAGTTAACAAATTTCAAAAGCGTCTTTCTAGAATTATTTGAAATTTTACACAATTACAAAGTGTTACCTGTAATTTTTCAGTTTTATGCCATCATTTGTTTTTAAGATACAAAACAATTGCAATAGTAGTCAACTTGATCTTTTGCTCTTTTTTCAAAAGAAATGAAAACAAAAATATTTTTGGATAATTCGAAGCATTATGGCTGCGCCTCCAGGCGTCCAAAAGCCGAACTCAACCCTAATCAATACTCTTAAAAATGGCCGAAGGCACCTACGAATACGAATGCATGAGAGCCGAATTGCTCGGCCTCGAGAAGCCCGATTTCGACGAATTCCTCAAGAGGAAGCAAGCCGAAGTCCAATCCGAAGAACAAGAAATCGAAGACTTGAAGGTAAATCCCTTGAAAAAATCCCTCTGGGTTAAGTCACATTTCTAGAGCGCCGAAAGCGAAGCAGAACAAGTGACACACATCGCAGGCGGCTTGGAGGATCTCTCCAGTATCCTCCAAGTGACCCAACGCAAACTCAACCGATTCAAAGTAAGTGAAAAAATAAACCTGAAATAAAAAAATTCAACGTCAATTTCAGGCATCTTGCGGTTCGCTGACGAATCTCCTCAAAATCAAAATTGGCGCTTCAACAGAAACAAATGACGCTCCACAGGTCGTGGCCCACTCTGAAACTGGCGAAAAGAGCGATTTAGACAAGATTGATTCGTTGATCGCGAAGGCTGAGAACGCACAATACAGTATGGCTCAACAAAATAAAGACATGAAACGGTTTTTGAATTAAATGGACGATTTTTTCTTGTTGTAGTGCTTCCAGCTTTTTTCAAATGTCGCGAAAAAAGGCTCAACGTGAATGTGATTGTGCACAAATCGATTTTTTGCCTTTCATTAATTATTATATCATGTTTAAATGTTTATTAATGTAGATAATGTGTGTTTCGAATTGCGGAGGAGTCTGACAGCGGAATTCTCTGCAATTGAAAAACGAAAAAAATAAATGCAAAATTTGATTTACTTTACTAGTTATTTTATTACCCAATTCTGATTTTTTATTTTTTTTTTAATTCTTAACTTTCATCACAAAAACTTACATAAAAAACGAATATAACAAGTTTGAATTTTTTGTAAGAATTTGATTTTTTTTCTTTACAGGAAACTGTAATTAGATAATTTAATTTTTGTTTGTACTACTTTGAATGTAAAATCTAAAAAGATATGTATCTGTTTTTGAAATTGTCGGTAAAGTTTACGAAATAATTTGTAAGGAAATACAATTCAAAACTTATACACGGTGATTAAAAAAACAACAGGGGCTGTAGAATGTTTATTTATGGTCCGATTTCAAAAATCAAAAAAATAAATTAAATGGCTTTTATTATAGTACCGTGCGATCAAAAAAAAAAATAAAAATTAGAGTAGGCGGTGCGAAAATTCAAATAATTCTAACTTCAATCTTCCCTGAAAATATTTTCTTTTTAAATAAATGTGTACCTCCGGGTAGCAAAAAAAATATTAAAATTTACAAGATAATTAACATAGAGTAGGAAACTTAAAGGCTTTTGTCAATATTGATGTGATTGAATTTGTTCTGAATGATACCGTGCGATCAAAAAAATAAATAAATTAGAGTATAGGCGGTGATTAAAGTCCTTCTGATGGCAATCCTGATTTTTGACATCAAATGTCAGCGGAAACTTTGACAAATTTACGTTTTATTCGTTTTGAGTGAAATAATGTTCACTTTAGAGCAGAAAATTTTTATTATTGCAAGTTATTACAAAAATGCTGTACAAAATGAAAATGGTGAATGATTTTCACTTCCAGTCTGTGTGGAAAATTTCGTGTTGCCAACTGTAGAATAGTAATCGTCGCCTACTCTATTTTTTTTTGATCGCACGGTATAAGCTGACAATTTTAAAATTTTTCTAAATATCATATTTTATGATATATTCAACTTTCTAATTTTAAATTGGAACCCACTTTGACTAGAAATTACTATTGTAAAAAAATTATCATTCTTAAAAAAATATAAAAAAGTTAATAAAATCTAGTTGCATGGTGTCAAATAAGACAATGCCATTATTCTAATGTCAAAAAGCAGCAAATGAAAGAAAATATTGTCAATATTTTTAAGAAATGATTATACGAATTACCATTACCTGTAACAAATCAGAAAAACAATTCAGTGTTTTTAATTTATTATGTTATTATTTATCTATTTATTTTGTTGACTTTTCAGAAGATTATTGTTAACGTCATTTTTTTATTAACACCATGCAACTAGATTTCCCAAACTTTTTCTTTATTTTAAATAATTTTTAACAAAAATAGAACATATTGCACATCTTTGTACCAAGAAAATTAATATCTTGTGAAAAAAAAATGTGTCCCTCTTTGGAAAATTATTTTTCCAATAGAAATAAATAGAGTCAAAGTGTAACTTCAAAAATTTTATAGGTAACATTTTTTTCTTTTAAAATTAGAAAATTAAATATAACTCAAAATATACTGACATTTAAAAAAGTTCTAAAATTTGAAAAGCCTAAAACTTATTTTTTTAACATTTGGAAATCGGGCTATAAATAAAAATTCTACAACGCCTGTCATTTTTTAAAAATCACCCTGTAAAATCGACCTTTAATTGAACGAAATAGTCAATAAAGTGTTCACACGTGTAATATTGGTTGCATAACATTTCAAGAGTTTATCAAGAGTTTATCTAATTTAAACACGACATGTACGTTGAAAATGGCTATATCTGGATTCAAAGGGAGAGCTCAATTTTGTACAAAGTAAAAATGTCCAAAGTATTTCTGTCCAAAGTAAAATGAGTATCCCTACTTTAGTCTACCGTAAAAATGTCCAAAACAGCAAAACGTAATTTTATCCAACGTAAAAACATCCAAAGTATTTTTGTTCAACGTAAAATGAGCATGAGAGTAGTTTTGTCCACCGTGAAAATGTCCAAAGATTTTGGTGTTCTTTGCAGTACCAACCTGATAACAAAATTACCAAGTAGTTTTTATGAATTTTATAAAGTAGTTTTCCTTAATTTAATGCAATTTTTTATGACAACAGTCGATATAATTTGCTGTTTTTTATACATTCGTTTGATATCAGTAAATTTTTCTTTTGATTCTTGCGCAGGGGCCATGTCTGTCAATACTGCCAATACCCAAACATGTTCCTAAATCGTTGGACTTTTTTACGGTGGACAATTATACGGATGCTGATTTTTCTTTGCATCATTTTACCTTGGATTATTTTACGTTGGATAAAATTACTTTAGATTATTTTACTTTGGACAATTTTGTATGCGTCCGTGAGTAATAAAGCTACACTGACCACTGAAGTAATTTTAGACACATCTTTGTCCAAAATCGTTAAAAAAATTTGAATTTGGCGCCACCTCGGCATCGCCAAGTCGGCTGTGAAACTCCGGCTATCCACCACCACGCGAACCTGTCACTTGTCATTCAATTCCCAAAAGTCAAAAAAATCTGTCAATCGTCTCAAATTTCGCGTCTAAATCCCTTCCGGAAGCGTTATTCCCCTTCCGGTAGTGGTTGCGCGTCCCGTCCGCGCATACTTCCCCGCCGAGAAATCCCGAGTTTCAGTCGCTTGTGAACCAGTGAAGGTGTAAGAGATCCGGTCGTGTGATGGCTTTTCTGCGTTCGCTGTCCCGGAGCAGCGCGTCCAGGTCCTATGGCTTGCTGGTGGAGCTCTCCCGACTCCGTCTCGCCGCCGCCAAGTCGACGGCCGCTNGCCGCCGCCCCCGTCGCCGGCAAGCGGCGCGACCCGCTGGACATCACCTTCGAGGACGCCAAAGCCGCCTTCAAGAGCAAGACCAACTGGGAGCTGATGCGCGCCTACATCGTCTACACGCTGTGCAGCTTCGAGACCCTCGTCACCAACAACATGCAGGTCTGAAGGGCGATCGATGGCCAAAATGGCGATTTTTACGTAACGGAAACGCAGACGTTTTGCCAACGAGAGAGCTTTGGCACGTGCCAAACACAAATCCCAGACGAATTTCGGGAAATTTGCCAACGGGTGACGGCCAAACGGGGATTTTTCATAGCCGAGGTTGGCAACATTGGATGCGATTATCGATTTTTCGGAACGGTTCGTCAAGACAATTAATTAACCAAAATGAAAAAATTACGCAAAAATGACACGCTTTAATGACCGACATTCAACCAGTTACCAACCTGACGGTTTTTACCTTTCCAGGGCCTACATTATACACCGTATGATTCGAAGAAAACTGATCAAAGAAGGCTGTGCAAAAAACGCAACATTCCACAGCCTTCTCTTATCAAAATTTTTTAGAAGCGTACAGTATGACAAGTTTTTCAATCGATAAATTATTAAAATAATTAACAATTATTGTTTTTTTAGTAACAAAAATGAAACGGTGTATATTTTTATTATACATACCGATAAAAATTATTTTTTCATTTAAATTTTTATAACCTTGGATAAAAACATTAAAAACAAATTACTCTACACACACTAAATAAAAAGCGTCTCAAATTATACCCTAAAAACATAGTTAAACACGAATTTGGTAAAAGGGAAAAAATGGAAAAATTTTCACGAACAAAACTATTTTTTTCTGTATTTAATTAAAAATGTGACATTTTTGTGACCCACTTTCGTTTGTTAAAAATTCAGTTGGCGTGTCTTGAAACAAACGAATTCTTCTTGATCTCGAATTCACAGCTCGCTTGATTTTTTATTTGGTTATAATTTCGGTGACGTATTTGTCATTAATGTAGTGTAATACGAGAAATTGCTTTCGTTTCAATGAATGATACGTTTCAGTTATTAGAATGCAAGTATTTACTCAAGGTTTAACAGGTGTTACGTCTGGATTTTTTGTTGGAATAATTTTAGTAATTTTAATTCAAAAATAATAAAAAACATTTTTTAATTTCTTGCAATTCACATTGGTTTTAATGTAAATACTTTTGTGTACACTACGAGGGTTTTTATCACGTCATTAATCCCAAGTTACAACTCATAAAAATGTACACAGATACTTGACACTGTATTTTTTTTTGCTACAATTGATTCTTCGTAAAAGTACAAAATTCAAAATTCTATAAGTCTCAATTGTTGAAATTAGAAAATTTATTTGTCGCATTTTCTTACTGTTGCAAATTCGAATAAATATTACCAAACAAAAAAATTGACGTTTATGACGATGTCATACATCCGTAATTACTTTGCAATTATTGAAATTTTCATATTCTTCAATTGTTTTGCACGTCCTTGAGGAATCTCCCTGACCACTTGATTCAATTTCGCGTGCCGACTTGTCAATGGGGCCCTTGTCACCTAATTTACGTCAATTGTACGTAACGATGTTCATTTTTTCGGGGGCGTTATCAAAACTTGTGATTGGTTCTTCGAGATATGATAAGCGAGACCAATCGGAAATCGAACGATTATCAATAATAATAATTGTTATAAATTCTCTTCAATGACGTTTTATACACTTTTAAACGGGAGTTTTTTTTGACGTAGAGCCCCACCTCTAGATCCCCAAGTGACGTGTTATTTGTTCTATTATTATTGTAGATAAAAACGGTGTTTCAAATATTTGGTTTTCGTCTGGCCTTTAAACCACTTATTACGAGTGGGAGAGAGAGGTTAAAATTATGATTTTTGGCACGGTTTTTTTTAGCGTGGGGGAAGGAAAGTGATTCATTGCAAAGATCAAGGGCCGGATTTCGGCCTAATAATATAAAAATGCAAAATTTTCTGCTTTTTTTTGGAGTCAAAGTTGCAGAAAAATTTATGTGATTTTTTTCAATTAGAAGAAATTTGTGTCCAATTTTTAAACTGTTTGTACGTTAGGTTAATTAAATTTTCTAAAAAATATGTCGTTAATTTTTAACTATACAAATAATCTTATTTATTAAAAATATTTTATTTTGACAAAAATGCTGGAACAGGTTAAAAAATATAAAATTCTCAACTTGATTTAAAATTGTATGTTTGTTTTTTGTTC